AAAATTCAATATTACTCTGGCTTATTTTGCAAAAAATAGAGGGGTACTCTATTTCAATTGTTGGATTTAAAAGGGTCTCTCCTCTTAACATGAGGGAAGTTCAAGGACAAAACAGTAGTATATTAATTTGTGCACACATTTACTAGGCATGTACTGCGATGTACTAGGCACTCTCCTAGGCATAGAGAATAGCCCAGTGAACAAAATAGGCAACATTCCTCCTTTCCTGGAGCTTTATTTCTAGGGGAGAAACCAAGTAAAAAACAAGATGAATAATTATATAGGATCTTAACCTATGGTAAGCTCTATGGAAAAAAAAAAGTGCAAATCAGCAAAGGATAACATGAAATGATTAGATGAAAAGTGTAGAAATTTGAGAGAGCATGGTCAACAAAGATCTTATAAGAAAATGATCTTTGAATTAAAACAGAAAGGAAGTAAGAAGACATTTGAGAAACTGGAATTCTGCCAGAGAAGAGCAATTCCAAAAGTCCTGAGGTGGAAAATTATCTTGCATCCCTGAAGAATGAGAGTGACTCCATTGAAGAGAATGAAGGGAAGGGTTATAAGAAATGAGATTAGAAAAGTAAGAGAAAGCAGATTATGCAGACCCTTAAGATCATGCTAAACATTTTTGCTTAACCAGGGTCAAACAGGAATCTAGTAAATAACTTTAAGCAGAAGAATAACATAATCTGACTTATAACTTAACAGAATCACTCTGATTAGGGGATCACAAAAGGACTGAAGTGGTACAAGGTCAATAACTGGAGGCTCTTGTAACAAAAGAGATTAAAAGATGATGATGACTTGGAGCAGCCTGGTAGCAGTGAGTGTAATGTGAAACAGTGAATGTTGGGTATATTTTGAAAGTAGAGATGAAAAGATTTGCTGATGAAACTGATAAGATGTGAAAAATAAAAAAAAAAAGTTAAGGTTGAAATCTAACTTTTCAACTATGGAACTGAAATAAAGAAGATTTTAGGAATGATCGCATGTATATAATTGGTTTATTTCTTTTGTTTTGTTCACTAGAGTGCAGGAAAGCATATCAGAAGCTCATTTTTTTTTAACATGTTCAATTTAAGATGTCTATTAACCATCCAAGTGGAGATGTCAAGTAGATAATTGGATATACAGGTCTGAATTGATAGGAGAGGTTTGTGAGGAAGAAATGAATTTGGGAGTCATTAGCATATAGATGAAGAAGCATCAACAAAAGTGACTGAGAAAGAGCTGTCAGAAAGTAGAAGGAAAACTAGGTGAATGTGGTATCCTTCAAGTCAAGTGTGGGATGCGGTGGGAGGGTTTGAGGGAGACTCAACAGAGGGGATATATATGTATACTTACAGCTGATTTGTTGTATAGCAGAAACTAACAACATTATAAGGAAATTATAATCTAATAATAAAAAAACAAAAAATTATTTCAAGGAGGAGAAAGTAACAGTCTGACGAATGCTATTCATAGGTCAAGAAAGTTGAGAACTAAGAACTGATTGCTGGATCTGGCAATGTGGTATTATCCGTAGCCTTGATAAAAGTAGTATCAAGTGGAGCAGAGAAGTATGAACAAAAACTTGACATTAGTGAAAGTTTTTGTTCACTAGGGAAAAATAAATTGAAAATAGTGAATATGGACAACTCTCAAGAAGGTATGCTGCAAAGGGATAGTGAGTAATAGGAGAAATAAATGAAGAGAAAACAGCATCAGGAAAGTATGGTTTACTTTGCTATTTTTAAAGAAAAGTATATAGGAAATTATGTATATGTAATTAAATCTAGAGGTTATCTGAATTAAAGTCTAAATAAAATTGTTAGTAGTTTTAACACTATATTCCAAAATCAACCATTTTTGTTATCTAAGTAGGACACATTATTATTATTAGGTCATTAAGTCTGCATGGTCTAATGAAATGTAACTATTTTCTGAACTCCGTATGTGGGTACCTCACCATCCAGGGACTCTCTCTATCACAGGCAACTATCACCCAGTGTATAACAATAAAATCTACTGTCTCCCTAAAGTCATACTTCTACTTGTATCACTACCTTGGTGAGCAACATTCACCACCCAAATTCCCACCCAAATTCCAAACAATAAAATCTACTGTCTCCCTAAAGTCATACTTCTACCTGTATCACTACCTTGATGAGCAACATTCACCACCCAAATTGCTTGGAAATTCCCCCAAGCAACTTCCTCTCCTATACTTCTCACATCTATTTATTCACTAAGTGCTATTAATTTCACCCCAATTCTTTATGAAGTCCATCCTTTTGAACTCCACTGATAGTGTTCTAGGACATCACTTCCTGCCCAAATTACGAGAATATGCTCCTACAGTGATGCTCTTCTCTCTGATATGCTTCATTGTTACTACAACCCCATCTGCCTATCCCAAATCATAACAACGCCAATGTAATAAACTCAGACACAAAACTAATGACTTCACAGCCTTGCTTAAGACTCCTGAATTACATCCAAGATAATGCCCAAACATCTTTGGTTGACCCTGAAGCCCTGGGAGTTGGTAACTGCTAGTCTTTCCAGTCTCATTTCTGGCTATTACCCCATCAGCATTCACACCATGCTTGTATTAATAGAACATCTCTAACCACTGGGTTTCTAGTCCTGAACACAGGTTGCTACATCTGTGTAGCAGCTACCAGCTCCCCCCATCTGCAAACGAGAATTCAGCACATAAAATGGAAATTATAATCAATTTACTAGATTATGAGAGAAATGCAAACTGTTTAACCTTAACAAATCATAGCTATTTTTATTTTCCATAACTAACAATTATCATAATTTAAGCTTTTCTTCTTTCAGTGTGTGCCTTTTAAATCTGTTTTTCTGAAAACACATTATGGCTTTTATGTTATTTATAAATATCATCAAATCATAAAGTTTCACATTGTTTTCTTTTAGTTCTTCAGTACAGGTATTTGCATTTCTGGGAAACTGTAAGAAGCCTTCCAATTATATTGTAGTTTTCTTCATTTCTCTTTAATTTGCAAATAAGAGTACCGATTTCCCCTGACATTCATGCTATTAGTCTTCTAAGGATGCTATTATTTTGTTGACTGATAGTTCATTAATAAGTATAATTATCATCTGACATGTTGCATCTTAAATTATCCAGTAATTGCAGGTATATTAGTTTTCAATTTTGTAAATTAAACTCTTGAAAAGACACTCTTCTCTTTTTATTACCAGGTAATTTTTTGAAGAATTAGATTTGTGAATCTACTTTATGTTTTGTTACTGCCATATTGTAATAATAATGTAAAATTTCACAGTCCTTTCCATGAATGCTCTGTTATTTAAGATTATGTTTAATATATAAACTATTATGCTTTTACATTAAATTTACCATATGATGCAATTTTTGAAAAAGACAAAAATAATAAGTATTTGGTTTTCTGGGCACTGTGGTTAAAAAATAAGGGCCAGCTGAAATCATCTGGATATATTCTGAAGGAAAAAAGTAGCCTGGATTTCAAGGTAATATATGCAAGGCAGATTTGAGGAGTCTCAGTACTCACCCCAGTTTAAAGCTGTTTTTAAGGATAAAGGCACACACCTCGATAAAGATATACATATATATATATATATATTTCAATTTTAGTAAAGATATTTTCTTTATTTCTTCTGCAAAACTATTGAAGAAAATATATATGGCTTTCTAGATATAAATAAATCCAGAATTCTCCTAAGGAATCAAAACATATTTTTTTTCCTTTTTATAAGATTCCTTTTCATTTCATCTTCATTCAGCCATATTTCTCTTCATGTCTTCTCTCTGTATTTTTATTTTAAATCACATATATTATATAAGACAGTGGATTCTGATTTATATCATTTGGGACCTGAGATTTGGCTGTGGGCAATTTTGTAGTATTTGTAAAAAGAATATATTAAAATACCCATAAGCCCAAATTCAATACATACACTTACCAACATAACTCTAATAAACAGATTATTGGACTTTAAAGCTAGAAGAGGCCTTGGAGAGCAGAGAATCCAACCTCTACACATTGAAGGAAAACAAAGTGAAGCTAAGGAGTTTTAATTCACTGGTCAGTCACTCAACTAACTAAAAGAGAACAAGGAGTTAGATCCTTCGATTCCCTGAAGCCAAGTCCTGTGCTTTTTTAACGTTCTTTCACGATATAGACTTCCAATATTAGTCTGTCCTGCACAAGGTGAAAATAGAGAATTGAGTTTGCTGTGTGCCTGTGAAGCTGCTGAGCATTCATTCATGAAAGCCAAACTGAGAACCTATGAAATTTCATTATCAGAAGCTTTTCTCCAAGGCTTCCTTTTCTGTCTATTCCCATGCCATGTGCCTAGGGCAATGTCCTCCACAGGCAGTAGCTAATAATCTCTGACAATTTTTTTTAAGAAGCAACAGTGCTAATTTTAGGCTACTATATTAAAAAATAACAATTTCTTATGTAGTATCTAATGATCTTGGATATTCTTTACAGATTTTATTTTCATATTTTGTCTAAAACCACTTTTTCCATGCTCAGAGAAATCTGTAAACAATGTTTGGAGTTTGAAACGTGTGCTGAGACAGACCTCAATTAAGAGTTTTTTGCTGCTGTTTTTATGAAGAATAAGGAGCAGCTGATTATCCTGACGGAAATCCCAGAGGCAGTGAACTCTTCAGGGTAACTGACTACAGCGGAGCAGGAAAAGCTCAAGTTTCCTCCTCCGTTTATCCTTATGCTCTAAAACTTACCAACCAAGCCCCATCAAGAATATTTTGTGTGATGATCCAGCAAAGTATGTGGTAAAGGAGGAAAAGGAAGAACAGGGCACTTCCCGAGAGGGTGGGGTAAGAGGTCCTGTGAGCTTCCCCGCGTGATTAGAGCTGGAGAAGTTGATCTCTTTTGATGCCGTGGATGTGGCTGCTGCAGTCACGCCTCCCGCTGCCAGCCCAGCGCTGGGATCTTAATCAGTCACTATGAAAACTCATTAGCTCCACAGCAATGAGCCTTCCGCTGCTGAAGCTTGGCGCTGTGCTCAGTACCATGGCAATAATCTCAAACTGGATGTCCCAAACTCTCCCGTCCTTGGTAGGACTGAACACCACGAGGCTGTCAACGCCAGATACCTCAGTAAGTCCCTCTGCTGGGTTTGGCTGTCTTGGGAAAAAAGTGCATTGAAACACTGGGCTTTTTTTTTTTTTTTTAATAAACTGCAAAGGCTGAGATTTTGCTTCTCTATTTACAGGTCTACTTCAACGATACAGTATTTCTGTGGTAACTATAGTCATGGATATTCTTTTATGAATACTTTAAAGTTACATCAAAGAATAAATGAACTGCCTGAGAAATTAGCTGTGGCAGGAAATACTAGATTCATTAAATTCTTAATGAAAAGCTTTAGTTTATATGATTCTGAGGTTTTAAAGGATTCTTTCTTTTTAAAGTGTGTTTTGTTTCTTATGATTTCACTTCTTTTAACATGTGTAAAATCCTTATAATTTGTCCTGCAGAGTATGCTACAGAGTATATTCCAGCTAATCTAGATTTACTATAGCAGGCTCTTCTTCAGAATTCAATTCCTGTGACTGTTTGAAATGTATTCAGTCGGAGAAACCAATCTCTATTAAATATAAATGAATAATAATTTAAAAAAAGCTCAACAGCTTAAAGACTGACCAAAAAAACCTTTTTTTTTTTTTTGAGAGCTAAGAATCATGAACAACAGAAAACTTACTTGATAAAATCATCTCCCTGTATTGTTTCATAAAGACTTCTCCTGTCACAAGTTTAACTCTTGTACTACTGTAGTTTTTGCTCATTAATGTTTTTTTAACCCTTCCCACATTGTAACAAATGTCTTTTCTCATTTTATGTCATTTTATGTCTTTTCTCAGTTTATAAAACATGGTTTAGTTAGCAATACCCTAAAATGTTTCAAATAAAACCCATTGTTCTGTCAAATAGAAGGTTACAAAGTAAAATAGAAGGAATATCCTAGAAAAACAATTTCTGTGTTAGCAAATAAAAATTACAGAAATCATTAGTATTTGGAGTCCTTTACTTTTTCTATCTGTTTTTACCATTGGACTGCTCCAACAAATCAGAAAAAGTCAGATACTTAAAAAAAAAAAAGCAACTCACCTTCAAGACCTGTTTGTAGTTACTACTAATAATTACTCTATCAATCAATGTATAATTAACTGAGTAGAGTCAGATCAAATTAATTACGTAATTACACCCAGTGCTCAGGGCACCATCAGAGCACATGTGAGGCACATTGTGACCTGCTTTCACATTTTTACCTCCCTCCAGTCATCGCTGCTACCTCAGTGTTTCCATGATTGAGAATGCCCTCCTTCCCTGTATGATGTGTGTAGCAGAAAGGATGTAAAAGGGATTATTTGTAGTTATAAAGGAAGCAGATAACACAAGTTTATTGATGTGGCATCAATAAGCAATGGCAAAACAAAGAAATGTAAACTATTAATATTTACTGAACCAAGTATCTTCAATGTTCAAGTACCTGGTGATTTTTTACTTAGTTTTTGAATTAACTCTTTCAAGAAATGAACCATTAAAGCAATTCATGAATAAATTATATTTCAAACATGGTAGCTTGCTTCTGATATATATATTTTTTGCATCTATAGATACTGGTTTGGTTATCTTCCATTTGTTGTTGATAGAGGAGAATCAACTTTCCAAAATCATAAATGATTCTTTTAGGATTTTTTATTCTTTTATGAATTTAAAGTAAATTCATTCCTTTACTTTCTGATTAGCAATCTTGGTTGAAAAATATAAAATATTGGTATGGCCTACAAATGTTCTGACACAACTGAATCTTGCTTTGAGTGACAAAAAACAAACTAGAATTCAGAGAAGTTTACACTATGGAATTCACTAGAATGGAGAAATCAGGTTGCAAAAGTGCATGCGAGTGAGTGTATATGTGTTCCTATGTGCATGTTTTACAGAAGTGGCAAACTTTACAGAAGTACTTTCTCCACCTTAACTATACAAGATGATTGCTCATATCTTAGGAATTCTATGGTAAAAATGAATGAATATATATTTCCTAGATTAAGATCATTAAATGTTAACGCTGAAAAAAATCTTAGAAACTCTCCAGGCCAGTTATTTTTGCACTACTTTTGGCAGTGGTGCCTCTTTTTTTTTTTTTTTTAATTAAATCTTATGTAATACATGCAGAATAAATACTTGTTGAATGAATCTTAAAGTGGAAATTAATATATAAAACAGGTTATGTGTCAAAAAATAAATGATGGGGGGAGGCTTTACTGGGCCTTTATCATCTGTTCCCTCCCCACATAATCAAGTCCCTTCCCTGATCAAAAAGCTCAAGAACCTTAAAACTTTTCTCAGGAGCTTAGCTGGAAATATGACTGATCTAATCCAACCCCCTTATTCTGCAAGTGGGAAGACTGACTTGCAGCCTAAATGTGTACATGACTAAAAAGAGCTCCCCTCTCTGGTTAATGGCAGAGCCAAGGGTGGAAGCAAGCCACCAACTGCAGTCCTGGCCAGGGAAGTCACCTCACACACCTCTGCTCTCCCTACCCCTCCTGGACCCTGGTGCCACATGAGATTCTCTCTACCCAGTTCAAGTGGGTTCCTATAACCCTGGACTCCACTTTCTTTAGATGGAAGTTATTAGACAGTTCCCTTTTTAGTAAGCAGAGCTATGATGTCCAGCCCTTCTCAAACTCTCTCTATATTCACTTTAGGCAGTACAAATTGTATAAGCCTGAAACACCCCCCCCCCAAATGAATGAATGAATAAATAAATAAAAGATGTTCGGTCACTCAGTCACATCCAATTCTGTGAGACCCCATGATGCCAGCACACCTGGCTTCCCTGTCCTTCTCTATTTCCTGGAGTTTGCTCAAACTCTTGTCCATTGAATTGGTGATAGCAGCTCAAATAAATAAATAGTGTAGGTCTTAAAATTTGTTTTATGAGAGTCTGTGGGATGCACAGATGGCAAAAAATGCAGATTTACACAAATATGGATATGGTCTTTCTTTAAAATGGTAGTTTCAAAAGACCTTAAAAAAACAAAAATAATATACAAAGAGTTTTAATTATTAAAGACAATTAAGCCTTTTTATGGCATGAACCTCTGAAAAAGGTAGTGTACATTTGATTGCTCAAAAGCTTAAACAAGTTTTTAAATTTCCAAGATATTTTTGTTAGTAAGTAAGTTAAACACTGCTCCTTATTAGGGGAAAAAGCTCTCTCTCTGTTTCTCTTAGATCTTGAAACATGCCTTTATCCTTCTCTTTGGCCCTGTTTTCTTTTCCTTCTAATTGTTCCAGCCTTTGGAGGAGCTGGTGTCTGCAAAGGCAAAGCCTTGGCTCTGAAAAAGCTCAGGCTCCCTCTGGCACATCTCTCTGATGCAGAGTAACTTCCCCCTGAGGCTGAGCTTCTGAGAAATCCCCCATGCTGTGGATTCCACACCAGGAAGAACCTGGTAAAGAGCAATTAGATAAGCAGAGGACATTCGGCTCACACCAGCTGTTAGTCAGCCCCACCACTGCGGTGGGAAGAGGCCTCGAGGGGACCTGTGGGCATAAGTGATTTGTTTTGCTACATTTTCAAATAGCTTCTCCTCACAAATAACTACTTCAATAAGTCAGTCACTTAAGGTTCTGGAAAATGAAGGGACTACCCTAACACAAACTCTCAAAGCTTTCCAACTTTCTTAACTCACCAATTTTATTTTCAGTTCTGGACAAAAATATTGGACTTCTCTGTTTTGTATCACTGTCTTACTCCCCCAAATCCTTAGGCAATGTCCATTTTGTGAAAGACCAACTAAACACATTAAGGAGATGGATGAGAGAACAGAATGGTAAATCTTGAAAGACACAGAGAATGTGATAATTGCCTTTGTAGAGTAGAATTGTGAAGTGGGTAAGAGAGTAGGTTTATTCCTGTTTAAGTACTTAAAAAGTAGGGCCAAGGGGAAAATTACAAAGAGATCCAGTCCTTCAGGTTTCCGCCAGTGAAATGGGTTGCCTATGAAAAACTGAAATTCCTATCATGCAGAGTTTAAGTGGAAACACAAGGAGAATACACAGAAGTGTCACTGAGTGGAAAGAGTCCCAGATACGACTTCCAAGTCTTTCCCAACTCTGTCATTGTGATTTCCAGAACAGGAGCAGAAATGATCAACCAACCTAACTTTGATGATGCCTTCAATCTAACTGTTTGTTCTGTATTTATAGTTGTTTCCTTAGAACTCTGAGGTTGTCTTGAGTGAAGAATATACATTTCTTATTTCAGTTCCAACCAGTCTCATAAGAAATGGGAAAATAACTGCAATGCAGTGACATCTTTATTAACACATCCTCCATAACACAGCTTCTTTTAGTGTGGTCTGTCAGCATCTCTGTAATTTCTGTCCTCACATTTCTTTGCTCCCCACAACTAAAGCCATTAGCATGCTAAACCACATTTCATTATCTGAAACCAAACGTATCCTCAGACAGAAAATTTATAAGGAGTTTTCATCAGGTATCTCCTCTAATGCATCAGGTATCTCCTACTGTAAATCAAACAGGTTTTAGTAAACAGATTTTTTTCTACTTTATTTTCCCCTGCCTGTACACCACCTTTAGTAGCTAAAGCCCTTATTCTTTTTGCCTCAGTCTGTACTTTTAAGAAATGCCCAGGCACTCAGCATAAAATGTAAGACCTAGTAATGTGCAACTAGTTGATTCTGTCCTCTTCAAGGGATCAGAAATCCGTCCCTTCACCTGCCCCTGCACTCGTGTCCTGTCAAGACTACTGCTAACCACTCCTGTAGAGTTCCAACTGCTGTCTGTTTCCACAATTTGGATAATTGTGGAATAATTTGGATAATTCACCTGCCTGGATACAGCTCCTCTACAGATAGTCTTTTCAGCTATTGGTGAATGAACAAAGGCACTTATCTGCACATAAATAACTCTGGGCTGAAAACTAGAGACAAACTGGTATAAGTCCCATATATGCCATTTACTAAATGGGTGACTTGGAACAAAATTGTCTAAGTTCTTTGAATTTCAGTTTCCTCATAATAAGATGATGCCTATTCCTAAGGATAGGTGGTTCAAAAGAAGTGAAACCAATACAAGAGAAGGGATTTTATAAAAAGAAAAATATGCTTACCCCAGTCTTCAGGATCTTTCTTTTCTGTTACAAAGCCCTTGAAGTTCTGAGAGCTTCTCATGCAGTAATAGCTCTATATTTATAAAGCATAGGTTTGTAATCAAATTATAAACAAAAAACCCCAACTTGAAACCCAATTGTTAAAATTATCATTTTAATTCCCCTCTTTAGAGCATTCTTAAATATTTCATGAGTTTTGTAATGTTAAAAACTGCTAAATAGTTCATTTAGTTCTTCTAATTAACACAAAAGGTTCAAAGAGAACTGCATCAGTAATCACTGTACATAGCAATGCTTTGGGTAGTAATAAACCCCTGCACCCTCCAGGTTCAAGCAGTCAGCTCCTCGGGAGTTCAGAAAATTCTATCAGGATCATCTTCACCATACAAAAAAGGGAATTTCAGACACTGGGGGTGCAGTGTGGTGGTTAAACTTTCAAACTCTGATACCAGACTGTGCAAGTATGCAAATCCAAGCTCTGCTGATCACCACCATTATGACCTTTAGCAAGTTTCTTACTATCTGAAATTCGCAGTTTCCTCACCTATAAAATGGGCAGAATAATACCATCTGGTCCATAGAGTTACTGTGATATTCAAAGGCAGTAATGCATGTGAGCTGCCAACTGATGACTAGCAGCTCCATAAATGTTTGCTATTACTATTACATGAATTTCATGTTGACATTTGAGGAATCATTTTTTTTTTAAGTTAAAATGGGAGCAGGTCTTCTTGCATTGGTATCTAAAACCCATCTAAATATAACTTTCTACCTGAGGTCTCAGTTGGTTTTATTTTTATCCTCTTTTCAATGCCAATATGGGTGCCATAAATGAGAATACTACAGCTACTCACAAAGCTTCCTTCATTCATCACTAAACCTGACACAGAAATCTCTATCAAACCCACACAACTGTCAAGCCCTCATCTTTTATACTAGCTTTTTTCTCTTTTGAGTTACCTTTTCTTGCCAAAACAGTCAGCTGCCAAAGTTGAGATCATTGAAACTAACTCTGTATAGATAAGGCCAGGGTTCTTTTCCATAATACTTAGAAGAAGACAACTGAACATACAAACAAGACCAGACTCTATTTTTATTAGGCTGACACTTCAGGAAGAATGATAAATGAACATCAAATTCTACTCACCTTTTATGCTTCCCTCATTCCAGAGAGCAACTGACACCTTGCCCAGATGTGATAAGTTCCTCACTAGTTAGCCAAACACCTGGCAAGCAAACATCAATATTAATGCTGCCAGGTTTAATAATCAGTATTTGCACTGCTGTTAAAGATATTTTAGGATTATAATTGGGTGGCCCCTTCTCCTTGATACAAAAGCTAAACACATTCTAGTGAGAAGCCTTAGTTTTCTAACACATTTGAGATTTGTGTCCAATGTCAAGAGCAGCTTAGTTGAAACTATAGGACCTAGGTCAAGATATATGTGTTCCATACAGTTACTCAGCTTAAACCCTTAATTGTATTATTAAAAGTACTCTGCTAAGCTCTACCTATCCCTATTCTATAGATAATCTCTTTGCATTTTTTCCTCTTTAATTAAAAAAAGACTATCTTTAAGATCCTATCTATTCTAGTCATATATAACTCTAAGTACATTTTTTCTATCCTAACCAGATAGTCAGGCATAAATGCTAGAAAGAAGGAGTAAGGGGGAATGGGAAAAAAAAAAAAAAGAAATGGCAATGAATCCAACACCCAGAAATAAACGGCAGCACAGGATACTTCTATGAATTATCTGAGAAAGAAGATTAAAAGGTAGGTTTGGTATCAGTTGCTTTTCATTATAGACCAAAGACAAGGAATATGACATCTGAGTTTCATAAGTTTAAAATTGATAGACTCTGCATGATTGGTGTTAGAATGACTTTAAGCACCCTGTAGTGATTATCTCTAAAGCTCTTGGGGAAAAAAAAAAAAAAAAATCTGTGTGTTGGTTGATTGTGTGTGATGAGCTATGGTCTGGGAGAGAATAGGAGAGTATATATCTGTTCTGCAAATTCCAAGACAGAGCCAGGCTGAATTCACTTAAGAATCTGCTTCCTACCATGTAAAGTGCTTCAGTATATATTTAGGCAAACACACCAGCGCAGTTACACCAACCATTATGCAAAATAGCTCTCTGCTGGTCACCATTCACCTCCGTGCTTCTAACCCCACCTCAGTCCTTCTCTTATCCTCCCTTGTTCTAGTCCCTTCAGCCTGAGTCTTTAAATACCTTCTCTTATAGACAAAATTCATCTCTCTCTTCTCCTGATCATTTAAGAAATACCTCCTTTTATGTTGATTCCCTGGAAAACATAGAGGAGAAGGCAAAGAAAAGCCAAAGAATTTCAAATCCCAGTTGCAGAAGTTAGTCAGAGCTTAGCTAGAAAGAGGCCCACCAATTTATCTGGTATTTTCACAGGAGAAAGAAACTCAGATGCAAACTGGATAGTCTGTCTATGTAAGACCTGTTATGTAGTTTTTTCAGTATCCATATGATTGACCTTTAAGAATAATTATCTGGATGTTCAGCCTCATATTAATATGGCCATAACATTGGAATTAACAGCAAGACAATATAGCTATACAGTCTAGTAAGGGAGCCATTGTGGCTACTGGAATGTGGCTAGTCCAAACTGAGGTATGCCATGATAGTAAAATGCACATTCAATTTCAAAGGGTGTACAAAAAAGGAGGAAAAACAATGTAAAATATCTCATGAATAATTTTTATATTGATTATACAGGTTGAAACAATAATATTTGTATATATCGGGTTAAATAAAATATATTAATAAAATTAATTTCACTTATATCCTTTATTTTTTAAACCTGCCCACTAGAAAATTTAAAATTATCCATGTGGCTCTCAATCTATTCAACAGTACCACTCTTGCTTCATACAAAACTCTACTACATATAAGCTGCACATTCTTAGGCAGGTTAACTAACTTTCTCTTCTGTGAAATGGGAATAATCATTATTCCTGATTCTTGGCATCTTTGACTGTATCCTTCCATTAGCAAGTCAATGCTTGTGAGCTGTCCCTTGGAATAGGGTCTAATCTTGAGTAGGCAGCACTCCTCAGCCTCAGCAAACCCCAAAGAGAACTCAGTTGAGAGTCAAGCCACTGATACCCTCAGCAGTTGGAGGAATGAAAGAATGCCTCTCTGAGCACTGCATCAAGGCATCCACAATTTCTGATTGTATAATGCAGCATCTATGCTCAAAGCACAGCTATTCTGAAAAATAACTAGGCAAAAATGAGTTATTTATTTTTGTACTTGATAGAATGTAATTAATATAGCAGACAGGAAATAGTCAATATATCCCATAGTTGGATATAGACTAATTATTTAAACAAGACATAAGAAAGATAGAAAATACTACTAGACAATGCATATTAAATGCCTAGTGAATAGTACAGACAATCTTTCAGAAGAGGCTGAAACCATATCTGATTCTCAGCTGCTCAGTCATCCAACTCTTTGAGACCCGCAAGGACTATAGCCTGCCAGGGTCTTCTGTCCATGGGATTTTCCTAGCAAGAATACTGTAGTGGATTGCTATTTCCTCCTCTAGAGGATATTCCTGACTGAGGGACTGAACCCATGTTTCCAATATCTCTAGCACTGCAGGTGGATTCTTTAACACTAAGCCACCAGGGAAACCATAAAGTGAAACTGAAAGTCACTCAGTCATGTCTGACTCTTTGCCACCCCATGGACTAGACAGTCCATAGAATTTTCCAGGCAAGAATACTAGTGTGGGCAGACATTTCCTTCTCCAGTGGATCTTCCCAACCCAGGGATCAAACCCAGTTCTCCTGCATTGCCGGTGGACTCTTTACCAGCTGAACCACCAGGGAATCCCAAGGGGAAACCATAAGAGCTGAATAACTGAAGGTTTATTAGGGAGGTATTTCAAGTAGGAGAACAAAATGAGTAATATACAAAGGTGTGAATCTAGGTGGGCATGCTTTCAGGACACACCAAGACCAATTTGGCTGGAAAGCAGTTTCTTATAGGAAGATACAGGGGCTAAGAGTAGAAACATAAATAGGAGGCAGACTGCAGTAGAACAGAAACATCACTTTGAGATAAGCTTCTAGGGAGGCAGGTGATAAGTGCATAAAAGTAATCTGGGAAGATCAATATTGCCAGAATAATTTGGCCTCTACCAAAATACTGTCTTTAACTCCTCTGAGACTCTATATCCTTTGCGAACCAATGTTGGTCTAATTATTTTTACCCTATATTCTCATGTGATACCTGTCCAGTTTTATTAATAATTGACCCTTCAATACATAGGAAGCTCTCTGGGAGAGAATTTTGCTTCAGAAGATTACACATGAACAATAATCAGAAAATATATATATATATATATATATATACTACTAATTACCATTTGTGTTGAAAAAGACTAACAGATCTTAAGCAGAAAGACTGGTGATATGTGAGTAAGTATTTAGCAGATACTTCTAAAGTTGCATTAAGATGTCCAAATATGACAGAAAGCATTAGGGGGTGGTGTAGGATCAATAATCAATAATACACAATCAAAATGAATAATATGGAACCAAAAAAAAAAAAGGTAGAGTCTCCTTCTGTCCATTGAAAAGGAAGTTGTAAGTGAATGAAGATGTGCTGCCTACTTGAATTGTTCAATCTCATTTTTACCTTTAGAGAAAAACTTTTTAAGAGAAAACTGTTTAGAAAAAAACTGTAAAAATAAAAAGATACTTTGCTCAAGATTATACAAACTCATGCTCTCTTTAACTCTCTGTGTGTTTTGTATGTTTGCTGTTGGTTTCCTCAGACTCAGATTAGTCCCAAAGAAGGGTGGCAGGTATATAGCTCAGCACAGGATCCTGATGGACGATGCATTTGCACAGTGGTTGCCCCAGAACAAAACCTGTGTTCCCGGGATGCCAAAAGCAGGCAGCTTCGCCAGCTGCTGGAAAAGGTAGGTGTCCTCTGTCCCCTGTGAATATTCTTACTGAAATCTACCATTCTTTGTAAAGGAAATATGAGAAAGCAGGTTAGGGTAAAGAGGGGTCTTCCAATTTTCTCCCCCTTCTCAAATAAATGTTTTCCTCCCTTGAAAGCAGTACCTCAAGATTCCTTTTCTACTGTTCTATTTATGACTTTTACTGTTTCCAATCTTGCTCTAAGACTAATTTCCATCATATTTCTCAATATCCAGTTTCTCAATATCTCTCCTTAAGAAAAAAAATAGTACGAAGCCTTATTCCTATGTCAGAAATTTAGCCTCAACTCTCAAGATCACACGAAACTCTTTGAGCTCCTACTTTTGGATCTCATTAACAACCTTGCAAGGAAGTAAAAATAATGGCATACAATATGCAAGCTATCTGGACAGATAATGAATAATTCTAAGTATTTATCATCATCCTCTAAGTCATTCCTTTGAACATTAAGTTCTTCAATTTCATTCAAGAGCATTCTCTCCATATAATTTACTTAAGCTGGATCCATAACAATCAAAAGCAGAATGCCCTTGATTTATTCTCTTTCACAGATGAAAGTCGTCTCATGAAAGGTTATTTATGTTTAGTTTAGGGACAAAAAAACAACAACAATGAGTGGTTCTTTCAATTTTTCTCATTCAGACTGTCACTGTGTCAGCCCCTGAATATAGTTGGACAGCTGGAGTGGCTAGACTCATGGAAGGATGACAACATATTTGAATTTTAAATACCTTCACGGATAATAAGATAAATTAGGTAGTATGTATTTTCAGAGGATATCATGCTCAACAATTCACTCTGTGTAATATCATTTCCGTGATCATCTACACAATTATGGCACAAAATAGGAAGCTTTAACAAAAAACAGAGAAGCTAGAAAAATGAAAGCACTGAATCTGTTAATACAGACATTCCTATTTTATGGAATTTAAGCTGCAGTAACTCTCTTCCACTGCCACATAAATAAAATAACTTTCCTCAGTGTACACTATTTGAAAGTGTATTGATGCCCTAAGATTTTAAGAAGATTTTTTTTTCATATTTTCATACAGAGATTAGTTTTTCTGAAGCCCTTACCCTTGGAGTTATCATCATCTATTTGCTCTCTTTTCTTAAGACTCTTTTTAAACGAGATCCAGTCTTCCCTGTTCCTTCAAAATCTGTCTCCCAGACAAGAGCAAATTTAACTGTCATTCAAGTTAATGACTCCAGCTATCAACTGTTAGAAATCATGACATATGAACTATGATTATTCCTGTGTATTGTTTTCCAATCTAGATTTTCTTTATATCTAGGGAAAAAATTGAAACATATAGTTTAGTATTGTTTGGTTACTAAGGAAATTAATTAGGCTAGTAAAAAGATTTAATCTTTTAAGTCCAGTTTTGCTTTTCTATTAGTTTGTATTTCTTCTCAGATTACTTTCTACTCCAATCTTCTTTCCTACACACACAAAAAAATCTTTCTCCAAGTTTGATGAGAAACATTTTCTTAGACATGATTGTCCTATTTGTATTACTATTTTCAGTATATTATTTCATACACACATCTAAAAATAGACATTTCCTCAAAAATCAGTTGAAAAATTCAAATAAACTGGGAAAGTCAGGAAGTAGAGAATACTCTCTACATGTAGAGAGTGAAATGTATTCCAGAGCTATGATAAAACCTAAAATTTGTGAAGGACGAATGAGGCAAGAAGAGTACAACTAAAGGTAACTGATTGAAAGCAATCACTGAAATTTATATGACCACACCATTCAATAGGCAATTTGTTTACAGTTTTAACGAAATTCTAGAAAATTACATCTTTAAAAATTCATCAATACCTAAAGGACAGAAGACAAAATTTATTAACAGTATCAAGGTCACCCCAAGTTAGGTTTATCAAATTCACCATTTGGTAGTTTTATGGCAACAGAAAAATAGCAAATTGTGTGCACCATACACAGTGGCCTGAAGAATGTAAATATCACTGGTTTGCTGCACTAACCCAAAGAAAGTGTATCTGAAATCAGCATTCTCTATTTAGACTGAGCCAGTCACTTGCTAACTTCTCTGAAAAAGTGAAAGGGTCAGTGGCTCAGTCAGTTCTTTGTGACACTTTGCGATCCCAAGGATTATAGCCTTCCAGGCTCCTCTGTCCATGGGATTCTCCAGGCAAGAATCCTGGAGTGTTGCCATTTCCTTCTCCAGGGGATCTTCCCATCCCAGGGATTAAAACTGGGCCTCCCACATTGCAGGCAAATTCTTTACTATCTGAGCCACCAAGGAAGCCCCTGCTGACTTCATAGTTTTACAAATATCCAAGGTACCAGACAGCAAATAAAAGCATGACCATTAGGCAGCCCATTTCACTATTAACCAAAGGATTGATTTAATCATATAAGGGATTACTCATAATAAGAATAATAACAATAGTTCCCATCTATTATATTTGTATCTGCTCCATTCCAATTTCATAGCAGACAGATGTCCTTATAAGTTTACATAAAAGGAAAATGGTGCTTTTTGAGGCTAAAAACCTTATCATTGTCACTCAATCAGTAGACTGTGAATCCATACCAGATCAACTTTGCATTTTCTAACACCATGCCAGTGTCATTCAAAATGCCACTGGTGGTACCCACAATTATTTAATACACATTCTGTAAAATATTTTAAACAAGTACATTTATCCTGCTAAATATTAGAAAGATTACAATTGGTTTTACATCAGGCCTTAGTGTGTCCCAGCTAAAATTTTTCACCTAAAAAATGTTTGTCTGTCAGCTATTTAGCAACTCTGTAAATACCTCCATTGTCTAGGTCAATATTTCCTAAAATGTGATTTTTGGAACAGGATGCTGGTGACACCCTCCCAATAAAATAATTTTAAACAATAGTACATGATACATCACTCTTGAAGATTTCCATCACAGAGCTTAATACTAAAGGTTCCGTGGAGACCTACAGTAGTGAAATCCCTGTTTAGTTGTGTTAACCCTAAGGCTATCCAAGCATATTGAACTGTAGGGCATTATTATTAATTTTTTAAGTAGCTTCTACACTAATTATGGCCTCTCTGGTGGCTCAGACAGTAAAGAATCCTCCTGCAAAGTGGAAGACCCAGCTTTGATTCCTGGATCAGGAAAATCCCCTGGAGAAGGGAATGGCAACCCATTCCAGTAGTCTTGCCTGGAGAATTCCATGTACAGAGGAGCCTGGCCAGCTACAGTCCATGGGGGCTGCAAAGAGTTGGACACTAATTATAAATGAGGGTGAAAATCTAAGTTAATTTGTGTTTAAGTTTGGAAAGGACTCAGACATTTCATTTATCCTAAGAAACAGGATAAATAAAGAATTTAAAAAAAAAACTATGAATGAAAGGGAACAATAAGCTTGCTACACTGTGGAGAGAGACATGAGTAGGCAGCTGAATGGCAGAACATCAGTGATAAGCAGACTAACAGAGGAGGAAGTCTCCTTCCCACAAGTGTAATGCTGGGGATCCAGTCTCGAGTCTCAGCAGGAGACTGATTCTCAGCGGGTCTCTATGACCCATGGGAAAGTAAACAGTCTGAGGTACAGCCATCAGAAAAAGCAAAGGCAGCCCAGAACCATCAGTCGCAACTAGACTATTCCATCTCTAGTCACACCGCAAAGGTAGCTCTTATAATTATACATGATTATGCAATATTGAAGGTCACAATTAAATCTCAGCAAAAATTCTCTCAGCACATTTTCCCATAACACAAATAAAGTTGAAAATTAACTTCACAGGGTAACTTAGAGGAAAATAAAAGAGAGACTGTTTTGACTATCCAGAATATCTCACTTTTCTATCAATTTCTAACTCTATCTGCTGCACTTAGTTACTCAGTCAGGTCCGACTCTTTCCGACCCCATGGTCTATGCCCAGAGGCATTCTCTAGGCAGGAATACTGGAGTGGGTTGCCATGCCCGCCTCCAGGGGATCTTCCCTAACTCTGTGGACTCTGCCGAAGTATACAGAAATCCTACAAGAATATTGGCCATGGCAACCATGACTGTTTTCATAGACAAATACTGTATTTAAATCTGTAGAGTGTATCTTTAACACAAATGGCTTTTCTTCATTCATGCTTAACCATAAGGGAGCTGAAAATTATTTTGAAAGCACCGCATTTATCTAAGATGCAGTCACCAGGCTTTCAATGTTGCCTCGGTAATTTTGTGCTGAATCAAAGATTTTTTTAAACAAAGCTTTCAAATGTAGGAATGATAGTAAATTAAGAAATATTTCAGAGCCAGGTAATACTATAACCTAACCAGTGACAGGAGACACTTTTCTTACAATATTAACTTGTTACCTTTAACTGCTACTGAAAGCCAAAGACAATTTTCAGTTCAGTTCAGTTGCTCAGTCATGTCCAACTCTTTGCAACGCCATGGACAGCAGCCTGCCAGGCTTCCCTGTCCATCACCAATACCTAGAGTTTACTCAAACTCATGCCCATTGAGTCTGTGATGCCATCCAAGCACCACATGGTCTGTTGTCCCCTTCTCCTCCCACCTTCAATCTTTTCCAGCATCAGGGACATTTCAAATCAGTCACCTCTTCACATCAAGTGGCCAAATATTGGAGTTTCAGCTTCAACGTCAGTCCTTCCAATGACTATCCAGGACTGATTCCCTTTAGGATGGACTGGTTGGATCTCCTTGCAGTCCAAAGGACACTCAAGAGTCTTGTCCAACACCACAGTTCAAAAGCATCAGTTCTTCAGTGCTCAGCTTTCTTCACAGTCCAACTCTCACATCCATACATGACCACTGGAAAAACTATAGCCTTGACTAGACAGACCTTTGTTGGCAAAGTAATGTCTCTGCTTTTTAATATGCTATCTAGGTTGGTCATAACTCTTCTTCCAAGGAGTAAGCATCTTTTAATTTCATGACTGCAGTCACCATCTGCAATTATTTTGGAGCCCCAAAAAATAAAGTCTGCCACTATTTCCACTGTTTCTCCATCTATTTGTCATGAAGTGATGGGACCAGATGCCATGACCTTTGTTTTCTAAATGTTGAGCTTTATACCAGCTTTTTCACTCTCCTCTTTTACTTTCATCAAGAGGCTCTTTAGTTCCTCTTCACTTTTACTTTCATCAAGAGGCTCTTTAGTTCCTCTTCACTTTCTGCCTTAAGGGTGGTGTCATCTGCATATCTGAGGTTATTGATATTTCTCCTGGCAATCTTGATTCCAGCTTGTGCTTCTTCCAGCCCAGTGTTTCTCATGATGAACTCTGCATATAAGTTAAATAAGTGGGGTGAATAAAAACAACTTTGACATACTCCTTTTCCTATTTGAAACCAGTCTTTTTGTTCCATGTCCAGTTCTAACTGTTGCTTCCTGACCTGCATACAGGTTTCTCAAAAGGCAGGTCAGGTGGTCTGGTATTCCCATCTCTTTCAGAATTTTCCACAGTTCGTTGTGATCCACACAGTCAAAGGCTTTGGCATAGTCAATGAAGCAGAAATAGATGTTTTTCTGGAACTCTTGCTTTTTCGATGATCCAGCGAATGTTGACAATTTGATATCTGGTTACTCTGCCTTTTCTAAAACCAGCTTGAACATCTGGAAGTTCATGGTTCATGTATTGTTGAAGCCTGGCTTGCAGAATTTTGAGCATTACCTTATTAGCTTGTGAGATGAGTGCAACTGTGTGGTAGTTTGAATATTCGTTGGCATTGCCTTTGGGATTGGAATGAAAACTGACCTTTTCCAGTCCTGTGGCCACTGCTGAGTTTTCCAAACTTGCTGGCGTATTGAGGGCAGCACTTTCACAGCATCATCTTTTAGGATTTGAAAGAGCTCAAATGGAATTTCATCACCTCCACTAGCTTAGTTTGTAGTGATGCTTCCTAAGGCCCACTTGACTTCATAATCCAGGATGTCTGGCTCTAGGTGAGTGATCACACCATCATGTTATTATCTGGGTCATGAAGATCTTTTTTGTACAGTTCTTCTGTGTATTCTTGCCACTTCTTAATATCATCTGCTTCTCTTAAGTCCATACCATTTCTATCCTTTATTGAGCCCATCTTTGCATGAAATGTTCCCTTGGTTTCTCCAGTTTTCTAGAAGAGATCTCTAGTCTTTCCCATTCAATTGTTTTCCTCTATTTCTTCACACTGATCACTGAGGAAGGCTTTCTTAACTCTCCGTGCTATTCTTTGGAACTCTGCCTTCAAATGGGTATATCTTTCCTTTTATCCTTTGCTTTTCACTTCTTTTTCTCAGCTATTTGTAAGACCTCTTCAGACAGCCATTTTGCCTTTTTTGCATTTCTTTTTCTTGGGGATGGTCTTGATCCCTGTCTCCTGTACAATGTCATGAACCTCCGTCCATAGTTCATCATGCACTTTGTCTGTCAGATCTAGTCCCTTAAATCTATTTCTCACTTCCACTGTATAATCATTAGGGATTTGATTTAGGTCATACCTAAATAGTCTAGTGGTTTTCCCTACTTTCTCCAATTTAAGTCTGAATTTGGCAATCAGGAGTTCATGATGTGAGCCACATTCAGCTCCCAGTCTTGTTTTTGCTGACTGTATAGAGCTTCTCCATCTTTGGCTGCAAAGAATATAATCAATCTGATTTTGGTGTTGACCATCTGATGATGTCCATGTATACAGTCTTCTCTTGTTTTGTTGGAAGAGGGTGTTTGCTATGACTAGTACTCTCTCTTGGCAAAACTCTGTTAGCCTTTGCCTTGCTTCATTCCGTACTCCAAGGCCTAATTTGCCTGTTACTTCAGGTGTTTCTTGACTTCCTACTTTTGCATTCCAGCCCCCTATAATGAAAAGGACATCTTTTTGGGGTGTTAGTTTCAGAAGGTCTTGTAGGTCTTCACAGAACCATTCAACTTCAGCTTCTTCAGCATTACTGGTTGGGGCATAGACTTGGATTACCATGATATTGAATGGTTTGCCTTGGAAACAGAGATCATTCTGTCATTTCTGAGACTGCATCCAAGTACTGCATTTTGGACTCTTGTTGACTATGATGGCTATTCCACTTCTTCTAAGGGATTCTTGCTCATAGTAGTAGACATAATGGTCATCTGAGTTAAATTTACCCATTCTAGTCCATTTTAGATCTCTGATTCCTGAAATGTTCAACATTCACTTTGGCCATCTCCTGTTTAACCACTTGCAATTTGCCTTGATTCATGGACCTAACATTCCAGGTTCCTATGCTATATTGCTCTTTACAGCATCAGACCTTGTTTCCATCACCAGCATCCACCTCTGGTGTTGTTTTTGCTTTGATTCCATCTCTTCATTCTTTCTGGAGTTATTTCTCCTCTGATCTCCAGTAACATATTGAGCACCTACAGACCTAGGGAGTTCATCTTTCAGTGTCCTATATTTTTGCCTTTTCATACTGTTCATGGGGTTCTCAAGGCAAGAATACTGAAGTAGTTTGCCATTCCCTTGTCTAGTGTACCACATTTATTTTGTCAGAACTCTCCAATGCGACCCATCTGTCTTGGGTGACCCTACATGGCATGGCTCATAGTTTCATGGAGTTAGACAAGGCTATGGTAATTTTACCCAATAGATATAAATAAGATAATGTTACCCAATAGATATTTATTGAGCAATTATTCCATGTCTGGTTCTGTGTAAGGTCTTGGGAATAAAAGATATGAATAAGACACAGCGTCTAACCTCATGGAATTTACAGAAGGACAGCCACTTTTGTGCTTCTCACTCACACACATTACACAATTAGGTTAATATAAGTGAGACTGTAGTATGTCCTGAAAGACAGGATTGGTAAAGGACAGGACTATCCATTAAAACAGCAGAAAGAGAAACAGAAAAATATGACCTCTCGGGGAAAAGTAGTGAAGGAACTGAGGCAAGCCATGGCAGAAGAATTCACTGCCTTTTCTGAATATTCTAGATCTGAGGAATGTATTGACAACGGGCTCTTTAAAGCTAGCTGGTCCACTAAGCTCTGTGACTTTACCTAATGACAGAAATTTATCTCTGAACAAATCATCCCTTTCTTATTTGTAACTCACAAGTTTTACAATGAAAATAAGTTTTTATGTGTTACATAAATAATACATGTTTATTTTAAAACATATGGAATAACAGATAAAAATATATTAAATGAAGCAAGTAAAAGTGAAAGTTGCTCATCTGTGTCTAACTCTGCGACCACATGGACTATACAGTCCATGGAATTCTCCAGGCCAGAATACTGGAATGGGTAGCTGTTCCCTTCAGGGGATCTTCCCACCCCCAGGATTGAACCCAGGTCTCCCGCATCGCAGGCAGATTCTTAACCAGATGAGCTACCAGGAAAGTCCAAATGAAGCAAAACTCATCTGAAATCCCACCATTTTTGACCATGCTTTCATGTATTCATTTATGCAAGTAAAAATATAATTCTATGCAGATGGATTTATATATAATAATTACCAGGGATATCTTTCTGCAATATTTATTTTGTTACTTCTTTTCTCACCCACATCTCACCACCCACCAGGAAAGTAATATCAACCACCTAATACGTATTCTTCTAATCCTTCCATATCTTGATGTACATCATTTAAAGGTTTTCATTTTGTATTGGGGAATAGCAAAGTTATAATGTTGTGACAGTTAGAGGTGAACAGCACAGGTCTCTTCAACAGCATCCTCTCCAAGTTAGGAGGTGTCCCAGTCCTACTACCATTCATCATGCTCAATTCAGCCTCACCCCTGGGAGTACTTCACATGCAGCTTGAAGTAACTGTACTGGAATAAATGCATTCTAGATCTGTTGGGACACTTCACTACCACCCAAAATTGCTCAGCATCCCAGACTTTGAGGATGTCAGAGTTAGTATTGATAGAAACAACTTATCTTAACATTTAACAGGTTGGGCCATTATAAGCTTACTAAGCCCTGGAATGAATACTCTATTTTTTAATTTTTTTATTATGATATATCAAATTCTTATTTATATTTAATCATTTTTAATGCTAGAATGTTCAATTTATTATTTCCTGCCTAGCTGTAATTTTCTTTTGCTACATTATTGGAATGTTTCTTATGAAGAATTGCCCATCTGAAAGTATGTTCTATGGAAATGTAATTATGGATTTGGCACTGCCAGTTTTATTAGTGGGAAAAAACTGATGTTTTTTTGCATATACCTCAATAGTATAGACAATAATGTACAGCCAGTGTTCTTGTTTAACAGGTTCAGAATATGTCCCAATCTATTGAAGTTTTAAACTTGAGAACTCAAAGAGACTTCCAATACGTCCTAAAAATGGAAACACAAATGAAAGGGCTGAAGGCCAAGTTTCGGCAGATTGAAGATGACCGGAAGACACTAATGACCAAGCATTTTCAAGTAGGTGTGACTTCAGCTGTCTTATTAATGCAAATAAGACACTGAGTACAATGGACAGCCACCGTGACGCTCAGCTAGAAATAACTGTGCCTTGGCCCATATACGTAAGGTTCAAGACTCAATGGGGATGTCAATCATCTCTCCACTGAAACTGACCATAAGATGGTTGGAATGCACAGAAAACTCGCTATAAAAACCACCTCACCCTCCTTGAGCTAGGTGGAGATTATGGATAGATTTAAAGGCATTTCAATATGCATGCCAATGGGAAATCTAGGAAAATTAATAACTAAATTTGTCAAAGACTTTCTGATGATTTTATGCCTTGCTAATACGAGGAGAAATATAGAGAATATAAATTATTAAAAGAAGCAATAATACCATTACTAACAGCACATGAAAGAGGGTTGGTTTCACTATTTGATACAAATAAATTTTTTTTTTCATTTTTTAAGCTATTTATTGACTAGAAACACTGAAAATGGAGAAATGGTGCTCCACTATGTGGACTTTTATTAACTATGTATGACACTGTCATAGATTGAAATAAAATCTGACCATGATAATGCCATTTGATCTTCTATGAAAAAGACAGTCTGCCTGACAAAGGCACAGGACATAGTTTATAAAACATACTAAGATTTTACAAACATGATAGCCTCTGCTTTCCCTGCCAATTAGGAAGGAAGATTCGCTGCTAAGACTGAAGGAATGGGCCTGAATTCAAGTTCTTGGTCAAACATCAGAAGCGCTTTTCACACATAATTGTGATTGGCAGGGAGATAGTCAGGGACACAAAATAGGGTCTCCGCATGACAGTTTAATATGGCAGAAATTATCACTATTTTGTCATTTTCTTCATTGCTGCTCAGGAGCCTGAATAGAGAGCCAGTTTTAAAGTTTTATCAGAAAGATACAAAAGAAGGACAAGAGGGTAAGAAAGTTCAGGGTCCTGATGAGAGAGGGGGCTAACGTGATGAATCTTGAGGTTAAAGAGAAGCAAGCAAAGCCAGAAGGTTAAGAAATTATAACAAATTAGAGCAAGGCCTAGAAAATAAAAATAAATTGAAAGATTACTGTGAATGAGAGAATAAGCAAACTTAGAAGGATAGAGAATTTATGGAGAAATTGTAAACACAGAAGAATATAAGGTTGACAAGCAAATAAATTAATTTTAACCAATATTTGTTGAGCACATAGTGTGTACAAAGCAGTGTTGGGCCCTCTGCTGGGTATATAATGTATAAACTCTCTTCTATGAAAGAGAGCTGACAAACTGGTCAAACTGACAGTAAAAAGAGGCATAAACATTACTTAACAGCACAAGGGGAGGAGTTATTAATTTTGTTTAGACAACTTCAGGGGAAGGGTTATCAAAAATCCTTGCAGGGAAAGATTTACCAATAATCAAGAAAATTGTTTTGGACTAGTGCTCACTTTCTTCCCCAGAAAATATTAGATTACACAGGAGAGCAAGAAAACCAAAAGATTTTCTATGTCAATTTTCAATATTCAAGAGTAGGGTGTACAGCAATACAGTGAGCCTGTTGCTGCAGCCATCAACTAAGCAGGAAACGACAAGCCAGCTCCTATAGCGCCCAGGGGGCATTCCCAGAGAGGAAGAGGGCAGAAGGAGAGGAGCTCAGGGTTTCTGGCTCAAAGTGAAAATCATTCAAGCTTAGATGGACAATACAGAACTCATGCCAAAGGACTGCTTGCAGGACCAGGGCTGGCAGAGCTGGTGACACATGATGACGTACGTGCATCTATGGGAACTTTTGGGAGAAGAGAGGAGACAAAGAAACAAAAAGGTACAAGGCTGAGAGAAAACAGAGAGAGGGAGAGAAATGCCTATTCTATAAGTGTGTCTAGCAGCAGACAAGCTGCCAATAAGAAAAGTTAATTTTCAGGCAGCATCATAGGGCATAATGATTTTGATTTTCCTAGTTCATGTAATCCATGTATATACTGAACTTGTGTGTCAAAATCCATGTAGCAATAACGATAATACCATCATTTTTTCTGAAGAATTACATGTATTAAACATATAGTTTCAATAACTTTAAATATATTATATATTAGCTACTTTAATCCTCACAACAATCTTCTAAAGTAGACACTATGTTTATTCCCATAATTCAGATGAAGAAATTCATGTACAAAGAAATTATGCAATTATCTAGGATCTTATATCTAATATGTATCAGAATACAACTCCCAAGTTAAACCGCTTTAAACCAATGCTACATTGCTTCTCCAAGTAAACCATCATTCTCTCAATTAAATATAATAATTAAATGCTCAATATATACTTGCTGAATGTGTTTATTCACCAAGTCCTACCATAGATTTTGCTCTAACTGCTGAGCTGCCATATTTGAGAAGAAATGGCACATTCCAAAAGTAAGTTTACCATTTAATACTTTTACATTGGAAGAAAATCCTCCTCTAGTACACCATCTTCAACTTGCCAAAAAAATCTACATAGGTTATATCTTCCATATCCTTTATGATTAAAAAAAAATTTGTCTCAGATACACTTGAGACTGTCATTCTTCTATGAAGAGGTCTTGGTTGGGTAAGATAGTCTAGCTATACTCTTTGCTATAAGAGTAGTAGTAGAATGTGAAATTCTAGAAAGGATTATTAAGCACACAGATCTGTGTTACTCTACTTTAATATTTTAAGTATTTGATATGTACATTAGTTAGACTTTCCATTGCTCTCTGACAATTGCCCTGAGTTAGAATGAATGCCAATAATTGAATTATACATTTTTGAAAAGATTCCAAAATTCATATACATATTCACTAGTGACTCAGACGGTAAAGAATCTGCCTGTAATGCAGGAGACATAGGTTTGATCCCTGGGTCAGAAAGATCCCCTGGAGAAAGGAATAGCAACCCACCCCAGTATTCTTGCCTGGAGAATTCAACGGACAAGAAGACTGACGGGCTACAGTCCATAGGGTCATAAAGAGTCAGACATGGCTGAGTGACTAACACTTTTACCCATATCTATGTATAGATTTTAGCTTAGGGGAAATAAAATGCCAACAAAAATGTCATCTGAATTGCTCTCTTTTCAATATAGCCATAAGTAGAATGTAAAACTCATCACTGTAACAGTTGTTATAATGTGCAGCAAATGATACTATCAGAACTCTTCTCATTAAAATTCTAATGAAGCAATTGTGTCTTCCTTTAGGGACAGCACAAAATGCTCAAACTAAGAAGTTTATTTCAAAATGAGACACTAAAATGAGCAAAGCTTTGCAACTCTGCCTTTTGACTATGATTTTATCAATGTTTGTCATCATTAAGACTCTCTGCTCTCTCCCACTCAACATGGACATACAGATAAATGCTGAGAATTCCAATCATACAGAACACATGGAAATTTCCCCACAAGATACACAAGTCCATAAATCAGGGTGACAATGGGAGCTCTTGTTATTTTAACACATTGACAGTAATAACATCTTCTAAATGTAATTGTAAAATGCAATTTTCAGCTCCTTAAATTAGTTAGCATACAGCATGGTTTCTGATAGCACCTATGGATTATTCTCAAATGATCATAGCAGTACCAGGTCTTCCACAAATGAGAAAATTTGTAACAACTTCACAACTGAATCAAACTCATGAAATATTTTCACTGGGTACCACCATCAACTTAAAGGAAAGGAAAAAAAAAAAGGTGACATGGCCAGAAACTGAAAGTGAAACTATAGGTCTGGCCAGTCCTAAAATAAGAATGAGGGAAAAACTGTGCTCACAAAGTATACTTCTTGTTCTCTAGACAAAAATCAGTGTTTCCATTTCAAAAAACTCTGTGCTCATTTATTACATAAATCATCACCACCTTAGTCCTTGAAAGAGTTAATTCACTACACTAGTAAGCAACTCTGCCCTACATAAAGAGCTCTAAATTACCTATGCTAAGGCAAATGAAGTCAGAGTATAAGTAATAATTCAAAACAGTAAACAGCAACATACATTTCTTTGAGCATTGTAAAGCTTTGCCTGATTTTTTATACTTGATGAACTTACATTCCTAATGATGCTGTGCTAAGAAGGATATTAAAAAGAGGGTGGAGTAGAAGGGAGGAGTAGAACAAGCCCAAAATTGGAAAAATTCTGTTAGTGTAAAGCTCTTCCAGGATCCAAAATTTTCTATAAATACCCTTATATTATTGATAATTAGTTAATGGGTAAATAGACTTGGCTAAACAGGGCATTTGACCTACTTATAATAATTCATATTTAGAAGATGGACCCTACTGATAATTCCTGACTAAATAATGCATTGTTCACTTTATAAAAAGTCACCAGAAAGCAATATTTTACATAAGCTCCTAACTGCTACCATAGGAAGTTCTGTCATTATGATAAGGATCAGTTTGTGGCATAGAAAATCTTGTAACCATTTAAAGAGATGTTCTTGTACTGAATCGTGAGATAAGTGGACTTACTACCAATGATCATGTGGCCGCTTGCATGCTCCTGAAATACCCAATCTCAATAAAAAGTCAATAAGGCATTGTGAACCTTTTAAAATAATCTTCCTGTGGCATCATGAAGAAGAATGTAGCTGCTTGATCTGGCTAAGTGGCTCTCAGAAACAACTGGCTGCTTTTCACAGGAGCTGAAAGAGAAGATGGATGAGCTCCTGCCTTTGATTCCTGTGCTAGAACAGTACAAAACAGACGCCAAGTTAATCACCCAGTTCAAGGAGGAAATCCGGAATCTGTCCGCAGTCCTCACAGGAATTCAGGAGGAGATCGGTGCCTATGACTATGAGGAGCTACATCAAAGAGTGCTCAGCTTGGAAACCAGACTTCGTGACTGCATGAAGAAGCTAAGTGAGTAGAACAATTCCATTGGTCCAGGTTGTGCTGTTAAGTAGTTTCAATGAAAACTGTTTTCTTGCATTTTGCGAATAGTCATGAATTCCTAATTATAGAGAAACTAGTGCCTGCTTTCTAAGTGTAAAGCAAGTGTTCCTTAAAGGCTTAAGCATTCCTGGTCTTTCTGATTAACAGCTGCCTGACTTTCAGAGCACCCTGTGACTGTTTGGTGACTTGACTCTTTGTGACTTGAAATAAAGAGATCTGACAGACGTAGCAATTCTATCGGTTACACTATGAAAATAAGTTTTATTTCAGACAGAGGATAGGTGATGATCAATCACTGCCTGGCCAAGGGAAGAGGGAAGCCATTTCTGGTAGTGGAGGAAGTTAGAGACTGGGGAAAAGGATATTGCCCTGGGAACAAATGTGAAATGGCGATGTTAAAGGAAACGACAACCATTCTTCTACTGTGCAGAGCTGCCATCAGATGCTCTGATCCACTCAAGAAATAAAAGGGAGGCACCTACTCAAATGCATATTCACTGCTCTACAAGGGAGAAAGCATTTGACTTGTGTCATGGACTCGAATTCTTAACTACTAAAATGTGTGGTTCAACCTGGTCTGAGTTTACAAACTTTTCTGTTGCATGAACAAGCTAATTACTGAACTGAAGTCATCAGGAGGCTAGTTGGTAACTTATATGAAATAAATAAGGGTCCATGAATTGAATAAGGAGGGGTTGTAAGTCCATTTAGAAATAATGTTTTAGTTGTTGACGTGATATGATAGGATTTGGAAGGGGGCTGCTCAATAACCATAGAAAGTGTTCTTTCAAGGAAAAGAAAAGCTTTTCTAGAACATGAAATAAACTGGGAAGAGGACTGAAGAATTTGAAAAAAAAAAAAAGAATTTCTAGTAAAGAAACATTCAGAGAATAAATGTAAATACTTAAAATTTGGATGACTTACAAGAACATTTTAAAGACTACTTATTTTGCAGATACAATCCAAATGAAAAAACAGTTAAATTGCAAAATGTTGCATTCAGTAATCACAATCTCAAAATAAAGTGGGGAATAACCACATGGAGGCCCTACAGCAGTCATCTCAGGATTTCCAAGAGGATCCAACAAAATTAATCAGAAGGCAGTAACATAAATCCCTAAGGGTAAACACCTGTGCAGTAACCCTCAGTTCCTTATTTCTCATCATGCAAGTTTCATACTTTTTCACCTAAGGTCATGACTTGAGTAGATTCCACTACTTGCTCTTCTCCACCCACCATCCACATTATTGCCAAAGAGATTTTTTAAAATATAAACCTGAAATTATTTTCCTCTATTTAAAATCTCCTATGCATCCCTTATGCCCCATGATACAGTCAACCGTAGGGCGTGATGCTTAGGATGCCCTTCATGTGTGGCCCTCCCTACATCCTCATTGCTCCTGCTGCTGCCAAGTCACTTCAGTCATATCCAACTCTTTGTGACCCCATGGACTGCAGCCCACCAGGCTCCTCTGTCCATGTGATTCTCCAGGCAAGAATACTGGAGTGGGCTGCTATTTCCTTCTCCAGGGGATCGAAACCCATCGTTCTTACATCTCCTGCACCAGCAAGTGAGTTCTTTACCACTAGTACCACCTGGGAAGCCCACATCCTCATTTTAGGTGCTGTTTTTTCTCCCCTTCACACTATGTCCCAGTTTCACATGTGGTCTACACTCTAACATAGGACCATACTGAGGCTTGGTTTGTCCTTTTTCCTGAAACACTCTCTCCTCTGTTTACATTTTCTTTATCAGTAAATACACTTTCACTTGCCATATGTGACAGAGTCTTATTCATTTTGCAAGTCTCAGTTTAAATGTTAACGTCACCAAAATCTTCACAGCCCTCCCCCTGTACCCTCTGCATTCCTGCTAGGTGCTCTCAAATCTTGATATCCCATCAATGATTGGACTTTCCGTGTTTCGTTATCATTTTGTGTATATTTGGATGACTCTTTTGTTAGAGTTTTGTTCCACAAGAATAAGTACAGTGTCTATGATATTCACTCTAAATACTGTCTCTCTCAATGCCTAAAAAACTTATTACTCAGTAAAATTTGCTGAATAAATTAATTCTATAAGCAGTCATATAACAATTTCTGAACTTTCAACAGAGTAAATATTAGGTATTTCAAAAACTAACAGAACAATCTCTTTTACTTACAAGAAAAAATTATCTCCTTCAGCCACATATTTTTGTCAAGATGGCACAGGACTAAGACTAAGCAAGGGAAAGGTCATTTAATACAACACTTAAAAACTCCTTTATATGGTTTGCTTTTATAATTCAAACTGTGGAGTTTACTGTTAATAGAAAATAGGTAAACAATACTGACATAAATTCTGCTGCTATATTTTATTCTTTTTTTAATCAAGAAATACTTTCAGTTCTTGTAGAGACTGGTTTTATAGCTTGCTAAATGATGTCTGCACCAAACAAGAAAAAAATCCCAAATAAAGAATTGTTTGAGGGCTCTCAATATCTAAGTTACTTCAGTGATTCAAAGAAGTATCCAAATTCTTATTTATTAGCCCATAAAACATCTGGGTTAAGATTTTCTGTAAATGACAGTACATAGGACTGGTCTATGTAGGGCTTCAGTTTGATGTGGAAGAGGTCCATTTGTTGTTGGTGAACCATTAAAGACCTTGTATATCAATTCACTCTGTCATTCCTACCATTTTACAATAAACCCAAGCCACTGGTTTTGTATGCTAAGTCCAGGCAGCTACTTAGCACAAATGGATTCTACTAAAACAAAGAAAAGCAACAGAAACGTTCTACACCTAGTCATCACCTTGGAGTGTGCCAAGTTATGTTTTTAAAGGATTAACACAGAAAACTCTTGGGATTTGCTCTACGTTAGAAGTGAACTTTACTTCTGACATATACTCTCTCTGAGTTTACTTAGCTGGAAGTAATGGCTACTACAGTTAGGTAATTCTACATGCTTCTCAGCTCTTTCACAACTCCCAGTTTGTTTTTTCTAATCCACATATAACTTCTGATACAGAATCTCCCCCAATATTAAAAATTATATTTGGGACAAAAAGGGTTAATCTGTGCAGACACAATATCAACATATTTCTCCTTACTGAAACATGGAAAATGTCTCTATGCTGTCCTCAGGCCTCAGGACTGTGATGAGCAATATATATGAAAGACTCATTTTATTACTTTCCCACCATGGACCACAAAGTTTGAAAGAATGTGTTAACTTAGTTAACAAGTTTTTGGTAAACTACAACAAAAAGTTTATTGAACCAAAAGTATATCTAGATAATGAAGAACAAGTAAAAAATCATGAAAACATGGTAATCTATTTTATTTTACCTAATAAAAAATATACAATCTAGCAACCAATATAGATATCAGTTTAGTTAAGTTACTCAGTCATGTCCAACTCTGCGATCCCATGGACTGCAGCACACCAGGCCTCCCTGTCCATCACCAACTCCCTGAGTTTACTCAAACTCATGTCCATTGAGTCAGTGATGCCATCCAACCATCTCATCCTCTGTTGTCCCCTTCTCCTCCAGTCTTCAATCTTTCCCAGCATGAGGGTCTTTTCAAATGAGTCAGCTCTTCACATCAGGTGGCCAAAATATTGGAGTTTCAGCTTCAGCATCAGTCCCTCCAATGAATATTCAGGACTTATTTCTTTCAGGATGGACTGGTTGGATCTCCTTGCATTCCAAGGGATTCTCAAGAGTCGTCTTCAACACCACAGTTCAAAAGCGTCAATTCTTCTGTGTTCAGCTTTCTTTATAGTCCAACTCTCATATCCATACATGACTACTGGAAAAACCATAGCCTTGACTAGATGGACCTTTGTTGGCAAAGTAATGTCTCTGCTTTTTAATATGCTGTCTAGGTTGGTCATAACTTTTCTTCCAAGGAGTAAGCATCTTTTAATTTCATGACTGCAGTCACCATCTGCAGTCATTTTGGAGCCCCCAAAAATAAAGTCTGCCACTGTTTCTCCATCTATTTGTCATGAAGTGATGGGACTGGATGGCATGATCTTTGTTTTCTGAATGTTGAGCTTTAAGCCAACATTCTCTCTCCTCTTTCACTTTCATCAAGAGGCTCTTTAGTTCCTCTTCACTTTCTGCCATAAGGGTGGTGTCATCTGCATATCTGAGGTTGTTGATATTTCTCCCGGCAATCTTGATTCCAACTTGTGCATCATCAAGCCCAGCAAATATACATCAAATAGCAATAACATTAGTATTTACTTTTTTATTTAATGAGATGAATGCTCTTTGATTAATTGATATGACCTTACAAAATACTGAAAATAGTTCTCACATCACAAGTGCTTCACTTTAGATTATCGGTAGCCTTCAGATTGCTATTCACTTAACAAAGAGGCCAGTGCCACAACCAATGATTCTAACTCATTTATACTTTTGTCCCAAGAATGGTTTGGGACATTTGGGTGCTTTTCTCCATCACACCATGTTTATGTCAATTCATCAAAACCATTTACGGAGACTCTCTGAGCAAAGAGGTTTGCTATTGGCTTACTTACAATATAGAAAACATGTCCAGGTAGAGAGAGACAGCCCTGACACTGTGAGAGTCACACTGGTTCCTGAAAAAATAAATGAATCTTCATATTTTTTTAATTATAAAAAGAATTACTCCAATCCCAAAGGAGGCACTTGGTTAGGTACATATATTTACATCAGAAAAAAATATATATATATATAACTTTGTGTAACACTATAATTTGATTAGCCCTTTACTTAGTTTTTATAATCCCCGAAAATTTTGTACAGATTAGACCAACTTATCTCTGTGAACACTTTTAGCTGCTTACCCAGCAGTATCTCATAAAGAAGTGCCTGAATATCAAAATATTAGAACATATAGACTCAGAAAATAGATGTTAAATAAAATCAGAAAGATTCACAGTAAATGTAGAGGAGTGGGGGGAATATCAGGAGTTCAATGTTCCA